CCGCGGTACAGATTCAGTGGTGACCGGCTCTTGTCGAGCGAACTTGTTTTGACCCTCAGCTCGTTTTGTTTCGCTCTGATTTTTCTGTTTCCCTGGAATGACTAAGGATAGAAATGAACTTCGGTAAATAGGGTTATTTTGTCCCCTCCGAGACTGGGCTAACACACTTAGAAGTGGATGAAACACCCGTTCGAACCAAAGGCTTTGTACACTTTGATGTAACTTACTTAAAGAGGTAATTTCCACTTCAGAAAGATGACTGAGATCAAATGGTAGAAGTTGACGAATCCATGTCCGCAGAGTCTGATTGGGCTGTGCTCTAAAATATTCTGCTCATCGATCAAGATAGAGTTGCGTAATATGAACCATTTTGCTATCGAACCCTCAAATTACCTCACTTGCACCGAAATTTCCAAAAGCTATATTCTCAATATTCTCAATATTTCCATTCTTACCAGTAGGGCAGCAGTCATTTTCATCTATCGATATTTTAAGGCACATCATTTCAGGCCCCTCCACGAGCAGGCGTCTATGGCGATTCCGTATACGGACATACTTGGCAACCGAGGGGAAGGGGATTGTTCTGTGAATGGGTGATAGAGCAGTGGAGGTTTAGGAAACTAATCGTTTGTATTGGAATCCATGTTAATTTGAGAGAATTAAATCACTTGCTTGATAGGCTTCGAATGAACATTCATTGAGTTGTTCGGGTAAATTGTGATATCCTCAGTGGGCTTAGAATAAACGCATGAAGCCCCCCTCCCCCCCCTCGCTGTGCTTTTCTGCAATGCACAGTCCATGGACTGGGCTACGAGCCCACACCTACAACAGCACTCATCGTTTTACACTTGGTTTAACCACCTACCTTACAAAGTGATAACTGCCAGATCGGAAAAACTACCTGCAGATCAGACCAAGTAGAGCGTTGTTGCATCCTCGGCCGTAACTGGACCCTTCAATCGCCTTTTCGTGCTGGTCTCCAAATCATGCATATAGAACCCTAAATCAATTGATGAAATAAATTCCACAAACAATTTAAATCTAACAGTCTCCTCTTATTCACGTAAGAGTCAATTTGGCGTTTAGTGCCTGCTGGATGAAATCTCACTGGATATTCCTGACTAAACGATTGTGCACTGTACGGTTACGAGGTAATGAGTCACGCCCTGCTCACTGTAGTGGTGCAGGTGTTCATTGATTACCTTTCCTGAAATGAAGGACAACTATTATACTGTTTCAGAGGATCCACCAAAAAGCATCGTAATTGACAATAATGAATTCAAAGACGACGCACATTTAAAAGAAATAAAAACTTTGGCGTTATGAACAGCCAACAAAGTAAATCCGATTGTCACGCCCGACCCATTGTTCCGTTAACGAAACTGGTAAATCAAGCTCCAGGACGTGGAGCATAGAATCACACAAAGTCCCAATTATATGAGCGGTGTTGGTCAAAGTCACCAAGAAAGGAACTTAAAGGTCCTGAGTGCGAATTCAGTCACCGTTGTCCAACTTTATTTCTGTATTTCTCTAGGCAACTAAAAAAGGGCTATAACATCCCGGAAATTTGATCCTACATTTGTATACTACTATACAATTAAAAAAGAAAGTAAAGGCATAATTACTACCTTAGCCCTCCAAGCACTCGCTTTGGTTTAATTCAACCGTGCCCTAAAGCATTCAACGGTATTTCTACTGACAAGACAGAGTTACGAAAAATCATCCAGAGAGAGAGAGAGTGCAATATTGTCTGAACATGAACGAAGAAGGAGAGAATACAATTCAGAAAGAATTATTTGTGCCAGTACTGTCTACTAACCTTGATCACGGAGGCCACATCCAAAACAGATTCTGAATGTACCGGATCCAAAACGTCACGCCCGTGCCGCGGTGACAATTCTCCCGGGGCCATAGTATGAACCAACCGGTCCAACAACTCCCGCAATCCGAGCAGACTTGGCAGCGTTCGGCGTTTCGGCAACCGGGTGCAATAATCCATCANACAGCCAATGGAACGGGAGTCACAGACTGTAAACGGAAAAGTAACAAAAATAACACACAGCTAAAGGTATCAGGACTACTTTGGCTACGGCTACTTACGCTTGGCAGTGTTCAACGATCACCATGAACTTCCAAACTCTGTTACTTTAATTCCTCTGACAGTCTTGGATTGACTGTAACGTGACGTAAGTGAAAAATTAGGTGGAACGCCGCGCACATCTGATGGTCTAGGCCATTGATCACAGTCTGGCCAATCTCGTTCTCGATATCTCAAGGCATTTGAACCGGT